CCCATTTTCATTGTTGTTGTTATTAATCTTATCTCATGTTTATGACACAATGTTTACATTCATTGAGATTATTAGCTTTCTGTATGTCATGTGTCTTTATTTTTATTTCCCTTTCTCCCCTTCTCCTTTTCTCACTTATGTTCTCTTGGACCCCTTCCTATTTGTAAGAGATCTATCTTGTCTCCTTCTATCTGTCCTTCATTATGTTCTTTGTAGTTTACCTTACTCAAACAAGAGATACTAATATATTTAAACTTGTGTGTCTGATTTATTTTATTCAAGTTTCCTGGTGCAACCATTTTCCTACAATGTCTCAAATTTGTCCGTCTCTTAGCCTGTTAGTATTCCATTATTCCATTTTATGTAGCTACCATATTTTCAAATTTAATTTAAATTAAAAAATTTTAACACAGGGTCTTCTATGTAGTTCATGCTATATTTGAATTCATGTAGCTCAGGCTGGCCTCTAATTCATGGCAGTCCTCCTGCCTTGGCCTCATGGGTGATGGGATTATAGGTGTGTGCCATCATGTCCAACAATAACACATTTTCTATATCTGGTCATCTGCTCATGGGTTATACAGTTTATTTCCAGCATTCAGCTATTATGAATTGAGCTACTCTAAACATTGATGTGCATGTATTGCACAGTATGATGTCTTTAGCTCTTTGGGGAAGATATCTAAAGGGGATAGCTGTATCATATGGAGTTTCTAATTTTCATTTATGGAATCTCCATATTGATATCCATAATGGTTGTACTAGTTAACATTCCTACCAACATTGTAGGAGGCTTCCTTTTTCACTGAAGCCACACCAGTATTTATTTTTTGATTTCTTAATGATTGTTGTTCTTTCTGGCTTAAGATAGAATCTTAGTATTGTTTTAGTTTCCTTTTCTCTAATGGTGGGGGATGTTGATCGTTACTTCATAGATTTGCTAGCTGTTTGTATTTCTGTCTTTGAGAAGTGTCTGCTCATTTCAGTTGCCTGTTTCTTGGTTGAGTTTTCTGCTTTAGGTGATCCAATTTTTTTTTTTCTTTCTTTCTTTCTTTCTTTTTTTTTTTTAGGTGATCCAATTTTCTTGAGCTCTTTTTTTTTTTTTTTGGTGG